CCCCCCCCCCCCCCCCCCCCCCCCCCGCGAGGCGTCATCGTTTGAAGTCAGAAAAGGTTCAGGTTACGGTGTGCGATGTATTTGTAGCTGCGAAGCGTAGGCTACAGGGTGCGCACATGCTCATGTTCTACCAGCCCTTGGCCGGTGATTCGCTCGCCCGAAGTGTTCCATCCGTCCATGTCGGCCTCTTCCTCGATCTTGCGCAGCCGCTCGCGTTCGCGCTCTCTCTCCTCGTCGGTCATGGCGCGCTCCGAGTACGGTTTCGAGATGATTTCCTGGCTCACACGCTGCGTGTCGAGCTCGAGCGCATCCGACTCGCCCGTATTCTTGCGCCTGGCCCCCTTGCGTCGCTCGTGGTCCTCGTCAAAGAGCAGATCGTTCTCCTCGTCTGCGTCCGCGCCCAGATGCTCGTATCCGCCCCCGCGTCCGCCGCCACGACTCGACCCTACCCTTTGCCCCGCACCACCACCACCGCCGGGAACGCCGCCAAAGATCGAGCTGGCGCGCGAGCGGATGCTCTCACCAAGCTCGTTGAGCCCGGCGATCTCCTGTCCGACCGAATCGGCCCCTCGCGTGATGAGGCGGTACTTGAGCAAGTTGTACATGCCAATGCCCAGCAGCGTGATGCACAGGCCCGTCACATTGATCGGCGTGAGCTCGTCGCCAAACACGCTGCTGGCGAGTGCGATGGTCAAGACCTCCTTGAAGATGCCCGCCACACTGAGCGTCACCACGCTCGTCCGCTTGATGAGCGCAAACTCGGCCAGATTCATGCCGAACGCCAGGATGCCCGGTGCGCCGATGAGGCCGATGGTCTTGAGCGCGTGTGCGGCCGTATCGAAATAGCCCGACTGTGCGGCAAAGATGGCGTGCCAACTCTCAAAGATGGCCGAGAGCGAGATGAGTGCGACGCCCATCACGGGCGCAAGCCAAAAGATGGTGGCGATGGGATTGTTCATGCCCATCTCGTCGCGGTCCAGCAGCATCTGCGTCAAGGCCCACCTGAGACCCCCGAGCGCCGACGCCGAAAGCACCTGCACCGCACCGATCAGGACGAACTTGGTCTCGGCTGCCACCATCATGACCACACCGAGGGTGATGAGAGCGATGATGCCGATCAGACTCCACCTGATCACCTCTAGCCCGAACAGAAAGGCGAAGAAGAGCACAAAGGCCAAGTTGGAGCTCTTGCACATGGTGTAGAACGTGAGCGTGATCGTCTTGAGGCTCGTATTGGACAGTCCGATATCCAACGCTGTAGCCAGCGCACACGGAACGACTTTGGATGCCCAGTGTTTGCCCGACGGTCGCGAAGTTGTGCCGTTGGGTCGACGCGGTACGAGCTGCGGAAAGATCTTGAGCGCGGTGCTGCTGAGCACAAACTGCATGGCCATGTGAAAGCTCGTGACAAAGAGCGGGAAGGAGAAATTCTTCTTGTCCTGCGCGAACATCCACTTGTTGTACACCGAGATGAGCGTCGAAAACGTGTACCAGCTCAGGATGAGCAGCACATTGACCACCGATGCCTTCCAATAGGCATCTCTGCGTTCCTTGAGCGTGCCCCCCTGCCGACGCTCGAGCGAGCGCGTCGAGGGGATGGCAGATGCCTGCTCTGCCAGCCTCCAGTAGGCGCCTGGATCGAGCGAGTGGCCGAAAGTGCTCGAAGGCGTACGGTGACCTGTAGACGCAGCATCGTCGTGGTAAGGTGCGGTGTCGGTGCGATTCAAAGGCTGCGATTCCGCATGCTCGTCGTCCACCTCGGCATGCTCACGGAGCGGCGAAGCTAAGGGTTGCGACTTGGAACCGCGTATTGTGTCGGAAGAATGCTTTGGCGCAGCGTCGTTCGAGTTGCGTGCCGAACTGGCGGTGGGAAAGAAGAGGATGTCCGACTCGGACGATTCCAAGGATCGGTCCGTGGCGATGGATCGCGCATCCTCGTGCTGCGCGCTCATTGCGCAAAGCCCCCTGTTGAACGTCGGAAGGGTGGCAGGCCACTACCTAAACATGTTGGGCAAACGTGCCAAACGAGACGATCGCGATAAGTGAGAGCGATGATGCAGTTGGATGATGGAGGCGGGGTTGATTCAAAGCTCAACCCTGCATTTCCCACCCCCGGGCTCGTGCGAAGCGAGGCGTGTCACTTTCGCCCCCAACAGCGCGCCACCCGCTCCCACCTCGCACCTAGCACCTCGCACCACACCATGCCAGCTCGCCTGCCAGATCCAACGAAGGACCGTCGGAATTTCACACGATAGCAACCCTGGATCTGACACTTTTTCTCTGCAGGCACGCAGACCTCCGCCTGTCACACGGGCCATTTTGTTTGTGCCACTTTCGCACTCGATACAAACGTTGCCATTCTCGAGCATGGCATTGATAGCGCCACGGCTTAGGATCCGAACCAAGAGCCGTGCGAGAGGTGCAGCACCTGGCCCGTCATGATGTTCGACGCGCCCGCATCGGCGAGGTAGACGTACGTGGCGCCCATCTCGGCGGGCTGACCCGGTCGGCCGTGCAGAGGCACGCCGCCGATGCCCCAACCCTCCATGTTATCTTCGCTGCGGCTGGCGGGCTGCAGCGGCGTGTAAACCGGCCCAGGAGCGACTGCATTGACGCGGATACCCCTCGGAGCCAGGTGGAAGGCCATGCTGCGTGTAAACGAGACGAGCGCGCCCTTGGTGGAGCTGTAGTCGATCATGGCCGCACTGCCCTTGTACGCCGTGACGGAGCTCGACTGGATGATGGTCGAGCCGCGCTTCATGTGCGGCAGCGCAAACTTGGTGAGCGCAAATGCGCCGAGCACGTTGCTGCGGAACGTACTCTCCGTCACGGCCAGGTCGATCTCCTCGAACCGCTCGCACGGCACCTGCTTGGACGCATTGTTGACCACAATATCGATGCTGCCCCACTTGTCCAGATGCTGCTGCACCACCTTCTTGCAGTCCTCGACGTTCTCCAGGTTGCCCGGCACACGCAGGATCTCGTTGGTGCCCATGGGTGCCTCGCGCACCAGCTTCTCCACCACGTCTGCGTCCTTCTCCTCTTCCGGAAGATAGGCAATCGTCACGTTGGCGCCCTCGCGCGCATAGAAGAGCGCCACGCTGCGTCCAATGCCGCTGTCGCCACCCGTGATGATCGCCGACTTGCCTTGCAGCTTGCCCGTTCCCTTGTACTCTTCCAGGTACGGCTTGCCATCGCGGTCCCACTTTTCCACCTTGAGATGCTCGGCCAGCGGCTCCATCGACTGGTCCTCGCCAGGCAGCTCCTGCTTCTGGCCCTTGGGATAGTAGTTGGGGTAGGCGGTGATCACCCCGTCGTCCTTATTCTGTGAGCTCGACATGGTCACCTTGGCTTGCCGTATCAATGGGTCTGGAAACGGTGCGAGGTGTGTCGAGGTCGGTGCTTTGCGATGCTGCGGACCAGATGTTTGACAAGGGCTCTTATCCAGCTCAACAATCGCCGCGTGGGGTCTTATATGACCATCAGAAGCACGGCTTGGGCCTTGGCATTCGCGGGGGCCCGGCCTTCACCCATTGCAGCTGCATTTCCTCTGTGGGTTGAGCTGGCTCTTGATGAATCACAGTGTCAGCGGAGCGGACAGTGTCATGGCGACGCACGAGGCTTGGCCGCTGCTGAGTGAGGCAGGGACGAGGCGTAGCGCGCATCGTGCATCGCGCATCGCACAGCCATTCAATCAGTCAGGCCATCCGGCTGGACGAGAAGAAGCGTATGACTGAGGCCGTCTGAGTTCAAAGAACGCCAGCGGCGGATGATTCAGCTCGAGGCGTCATCCCGAGACGAAGCCAAAAAAAGGACAAATTTGTTACACCCAAGATGTATTCACAACGTCTTGACAAAGAAAGCCTTCCACGTGGTCACGGTGGGCATCAATGCGCCGGGATCAGGTCGTGCGCAAGTTGAATGGTCTTCCCGTCCGCCGTCAGCCTCACCGCACGCACCGAGGACACTCTACTTTGCCGGTCGCTACGCCTGCTACGATGCTCGATCGAGCTTGAGCTTGGCGTGTCAGACGACGAAAGAGCGGTTCGAGCTTAGAAAGTGTGATCGTGACGTTCAAAAAGCAAGTGGCCGCTTCGCGGCTGGGCCGATGATCGCCGCGTCACCGGACCCCTTCATCTCGCTCGCGCGGCGGCAGAGGCAGAGGCAGACACGTCAAAATTGCAGAGTCGCCGTGCCCGATGCCACCTCATCTGGTGGGTGGTGCGGGCTGCGGGCTGCCGTGAAGCAAAAGAGGCAGGGAAAAAAGGAGATTTGGATTGTGTGGAATCTTGAGCTTGTCAGGCGGGCAGCGGAGCTTTGTTCCATCCGATTCTTCATACGGGAGCGACGAGCCTGCCGAGCTGACCGGTCCATGCTCGTCAGGCCTTTGCATCAAGCTACACTACTCCGATCCAATGAACAAAAAAAAGTATTTTACTCTTTTATTTTTTAATTAATGTTCGAACCAACGGCGACCTCAGCTTTCGGAAAGCGAGAAGCGAAAACAAAGGCGAGGCTAAAATCTATTTGGTGGGATTTTCTCCGCTTGGTTGGGTGCAAGGGCGAGCGGAGCGTCGTGTCGCTTGCACGCTGCACCGCCCCAACGCGGCGAGAAGAGCGGCACGAGAGCGGAGTGGAGTTGAGGCCTTTTGTGTGGCGGAAACGTCGTGCAGCTAAGCGAGCAGCAGCTGGGCAGCTTGGTCCGGGCGGGGCGGTGCCTCGGTGCGTGGAAGTCGAAAGTCGCTTCGTGCGTCGTCTCATCTGGCCCCCGTCATTCAACCCCAGCCCTTGCAGAGCGAGAGAGAGCCGTGGTGAAAGCACCACACGTCTCGCTTCCAGGCCATCGCCTTGACTCGTGTTTTTGTTTTTTTTCTCTTTATTTTTTTGGTGATCTGCTGCGCTTCCCTCGACAAAGCGCCCCGTGCTCATCTGAGTTGGCACCCGCGCTGCCTTGTCAACCGACGTGGTCCCCAGCGTGATCCAGCCTGCACGCTTCTGCCTGCGGGCACGGCAAGGCTCGACTCGACTCGACTCGCTTGCGCCGTTTTCTCTCCGCGTCGCATTTTGGGTGCAATTTCGGCACCACGCCTAGCATCAGGCGTCTGCCGTGTGCCATCTGCCATCAGGCGCTTGGGACACACACCCAGCCAAAACTGGACTGTAAAAAAGCTCAGCCCGCGCTGAGCATCCACTGGTTGGTGGTGGTGCTCTCGGCCTCGCGACGTGGCTCGCACTGCGTCTCTGTGCATTTTCGCATCGTTGGAGTGTCTGAGTCGAGCTTCTGCATCTGCCGTCTGCATCTGCCGTCTGCAACCCGCCGCTTGCGCCTGGGTCTGCTTCTGCATCTGCTTCTGCAGTCGGCAGTCCGCGTGTAGACGAGCGACCACCGCCCAATTTTTCGCTCCATTCCAGCCCTCTTGTCGCCCGCCGCTTGGCTTTGGCTTTGGCTTTTGGCCCTCTTGACTTTTGCTGCTCACCTTTGCACCGCGTTTCACTCTTGGCCCGCTCGACCCGACGCCTGGACCCACGCCTTCTTGCAACCGCTCCACCATCCTCGCCCTCGCCTCCTTCCATCCACCTCGGCATCGCCGGTTCCATATCGTGACTTGAGCCATCCCCAACCCCCCCCCCCTTTCGCTCTGCTTCA